ACTATATACGAGGGAAAATAGCACAGGTGAGGAACTTCTTCCAGACACGGTTCAGTCCATGTGACTCTGTTCTGTCCCCATCTCAGTTCTTTTTTTTTTTTTAAGATTTTACTTAGTTTTTTTGTTGTTGTTGTTTTCTTTAAGAAGGAGGGGAAAGGAGGGACAAAGAGAGGGAGGGAAACATCTATGTGAGAGAGAAACATTGATCAGTTGCCTTTTGTGTGTGCCCAACCAGGCCACCAAACCCACAACCCAGGCCTGGGCCCTGACCAGGAATCAACCAGCGACCTTTTTACTTTCCGGGCTGCACCCAGCCAGCTGAGCCGCACCAGTCAGGGCCCTGTCTCAGTTCTTAATGCCCGGCAGCCTCACGCTGACAGGCCCCACCCTCCTTTCTGTCCCCTGACCTGCTCCCCTAGGAAATCACAGAAACGGAATGTTTGGACCCAGTTGGGATCTTAGCATCCAGTGCAGCGGTTTTCCATCCTGGTTCGTTGGTGTGTGATGCTGACACATGTGGACTGTTCCTCTGGGTTCAGCACAGCGTGCTGGCCACATCCCCTCCTGCTGTCCAAGTATCCACCTCCAAGAACCCGCACCGGGCAGGCCTCTTCCCGGAATCCCAGCTCACATTGTCCTTCTCGTAGAGAGAGTGGCAGCGGTATCCACATCCGGGGACCTCCCGCGGGTAAAGCCCCTCAGCCCTGCTTCTCAGAGGTGATGGCTCTGGAAACTGCTCATCTCTCTGCTGCCATGGACAGAATTACATTAAGAACAGAACTAAAAGATCAGCCAGGAAAGCCATTAAGAACAGTAAGTGAATAAATCACAGCAGCTGCGGAAGAAATTTAGGGACCTCAGAGATCACTGTGTGTGGAGCCGGGTATAGGAATAAGTGACTATTATCCAAAAATTGTCAAATGCTCAGTGTAGGCACCAAGAAGAAACGAAAGGTCAGAGTATCCCTCCCGGACCAGTGGGGACTGGGGACACGAAGGCAGTCGGCCCTTTCTAAAGTCGTTGATGCGAGCTGCAGCTACTTGAGCTGCACCGACAGGGACAGGGTTCGGGTGCGCTGTGCCGGGTCAGTGCCGAGTGAAGCACTGTTTCCTCGAACTTGGGACGACTGTCTTCATCTGCTGGGAATGTCGGAGCCCCAGATTTCCAGTTAAGACCATCAGGATGCTGGTCGCTGTGGAGAAAATGGAATTAGACTCCATTTAAACTGCATTTGGCCTGATGATGTTTGGTACTTCCTGGGGCCAAATGATATTCCCAAATTTGCATAAATTACAAAGTGAGATTAGATATTATAGGGAACACGGAAATAATCTGGATTATAAAGTGCCAGAAGTTTCTCCTGGAGGGATGTTTTAGGTTTGAGTTCCTTTAATTCTTTATGAAGTAGGTTCAGATTACGCCTGCCCAGGGGGTCCTCTTATCGGGTCAGTGATGATTTAGGGAAGCCCGGGGGATCTATGAAAAGGTTGAAGTGACTATATTCACTTATATCCAGTCTGGGTTTCTCAGTCTTGGCACTTGGAACATTTGGGGCCAGACGATTCTTTGTTGTGGGGACTGTCCTGTGCGTTGTAGGGTGTCGGGCAGCACCCTGGCCTCTCTGCCCACTAGACGCCAACAGCATCCCTCCACAAACCCCTCAGTCGTGACCACCAAAAATGTTTCCGGACTTTGCCGAATGTTACCTGGGGGGCCAAGTCCCAAACGCTGCCTGCTGTTGAGAATTACTGCTTTAGGATGACCCGTCAACCGCCCCAGTTTGCTCAGGGCTGAGGAACTCCAGCACATGGGACAGGGTATGCAGCCTTGGAGGAGCTGGCCCCCCAGCTGTGGGACTGGTGTGTTCTACGTCACACTAAAATTTCAAAGTAAGAACACAAACGTTTTGAAAAGTCTGTCTTCAATGAAGGCCCGGGAGAGACGTGGTATCATTTCACATCCACATGGTTTGCGGTACTGTGGAGGCATCAGAGACAAAGGTCCATCTTTTTCCTCAGTGCCTGCAAACCGGAGCCATAGCAAGACGGGCCACTGGGAGCTCCGGTCCTGGCCAGCGGACCGAGAGGCCATGAGTCGAACCGTGCCACCTTTCTAGAAGAGAGGTTCTCGTTTGATGCCTAGTAGTAAGTTTGAGTGACAGACTTCCCCCTAGAACTGTAGGCTGTGTGACAGTGTACATCATGAAAGTGACAGCAACAATGGGGACTAATTTAATTCCACTTTTGTTTGCAGCCCCAATAAATCATTACTGCAGGGAAAAAGAAATTTCACTTTCTCAGACAAAGATGATTTGTATGATGGAGCTCTGAGTAAATGGGGTCCGGGAGAAGGTCTGTTAGGGGGCTTACAAATATTTTAAATGACACATCATAGAACTTGCTGTAAATGCCCCCTGCACCTGGCCTGGTGAGTGACTTGTACCAGAAGGGCCTCCTTTCCAGACTAATTGAGAGTCACGTAAAATCATGCCAACCAGCTTGGCAAAATGATGGTGTTTCTTAGGGTGTTGCATTAGAAAAGGTAACTGATTATAGTGCTGTGGATCCTACAAGAGCTGGTGAATGAAACAGCTAAAATAAAGGGTCTAGACTCGAGTCCTGACCATTTACAAACAGGTGAAGTCTCAATGTGAATGGAACATGGCCAGTGTTCTCCATCTTCCTTCCAGAAAGTGATAGTTGCATGGGAATGTGCTTCCGGGAAGCTTTTAAATGAATTATGGAGAGAGGGCAGCTTGGGGCTCAGAGTGCCATGCCTGAGCACCTAACGAATCTGGGAAGGGCTGCCGTGTAGGCGGAACCCCCCACCCCGAGGAAGACAGTGCAGAGTGGTCCCTGGTGCTTGCAGAGAGTCATAGGCATTTCGTCTAAGCTAAACAACGCCTTGCCTACTTGGGGGACATCCTGCAATCCTGTTTCAGTCCATTAAAAGCACAAGAAAACCACTTGCCTGTGAGTAGAACCCACTTCTTCCTGCATTACATTGACATTTTCCTCTGGGGTTGGGGGCAGAAGGAGGGAGGGAACCCAGGGAAAGTTTTGCTTAAGATCATTTCCCGCAAGAGGGCTCACTGCAACCTTCCCACCTGAGACGTCAGCACCAGTCGAGCCCCCACTTCAGGGACTGAAAGAATAAATCATAGGCAGAAGCTGTAAACACGCCCGCCAGGAAGCAGCCTTCCTTTGGAGCCGTGTGAATGTGAGGTAAGTGAGTGGTTACCGCAGAGCTGACTTTACAGGAGGGAGACATTCTGCGTTAGGGCACGAAGAGCTGTTATGTGAATTCTAAAACTGCTCTGGCTTTCTCCCCACGGCCCACCTGAAGCAGTGGTCTTTGTCCACACTCGCCTGGCTCAAGGGAGCTTTCATGCCCCCATTTGTTTTAACCCCGATAAGTGGCCCAGAGCTCTGGGTTAGGTCTGTCCGGCCAGCCATTGAAAACACATATTTGTCTTTTAGAGAGCAGGTCCTGGATATCGTCAGAAACATGAGAAACAATTTGAGCAGATATACAAGGAACAAATATTTTACTGGCACTGGGTGTCATTAAATTCCATATCTAAGAGGGATTGGGGATTTGGGGTTCTAGAAGCGTGATGCTCCCCGCCTCTCCTGGTTATATCATCTTGGAATTCAAAACTGCCTCGTGGTGCTCTCTTTTGCCAACACGCAGCCCTCAGGAGCTGGCGTGTGCGTCATCCTGCTGGGTCTGCCGTACTGCCAGACAGCGGCGTCCCAGACACGTAGCTGTAGGCACCAGAACAGGAAAGAAGCGAAATGGTAATGTCTGGGAAGACGGAAAACCCCGGGTGCACTGCTGGGGCGGGGGCAGCGGGGATAGAATCATGCAGACGTATTTAAGGAGCATATAATACTCTGTGTGTAAATAGAATATTTAAGAAGTTCTCTGGGCCTGTCCTGTGCTGTAGAGTTTGCCTCTGAAGGGAAACAAAACAAAACTTAATTAGCCCTTGGTTTACAAAAGGTCTTGGGACCTGAGCCTTGGGTTTTCTTTGTTTTAAGAATTTGTTTTCAGCAAATGGAGGCCTGGTCCCTGTTCCAGAGGCATAATAGCTCTGTCATTGTATTTGTTTTCTAGGGCTGCGACAACAAATTGCTAAAACCTCGGTAGCTCGAGAACAACACAAATTTATCCTCTCGTGGTTCTGGAGGCCAGGAGTCTGAAAACAAGGCATGGGCGGGGCTGGTTCTTCGCCAGGAAGCGGGGTGGGGGCTGTGAGGGAGGGTCTGACCTGTGCCCCACCTCTAACCTCTGGGCAGCCTTTGGGGTTGCATCACTCCCCTCAGTCTGGGCCTCCGTCTTCCCGCATAGCCATCTCAAATCTGGGGAGAGTTCATCTTGAGATCCTTAACAGTTACATCTACAAAAACCCTGTTTTCAGTTAAGGTTAAAGTCACAGGTTAGGATGTGGGTGCATCCCTGTGGGGAGACCCAAGCCAACTGACTACAGTCATCGAGGAGTTTTTCTTCGTGTCTCTGAAGTTGCTACTCTCTGTTGCTTCAGTCCACTTTCAGAACATGGCTCATTGTAAAGCTGTGCTCCAGTGTTTTCCTGTCCCAGCCCCGACCCCATATTCGTGTTTAAGCATCCCTTCCTACTCCGTCTGCCATGCCACGCCTAGTACACAGAGGCCAGGCTGGCCAAACCCTTTAAACATAGCACCTCCCAGCCACTGAGTTCTCCCTTCTTGATAAATCAGATCTAAGAGGATGATCCTATGAAGTCCCCCACACGAGGCTATAACCTCTTGCCTTCACACATTAGCTGAGCACATCAATGTGCACAGAAATGGAGAGACTTGGAGAAAGACCAGAGAGGTTCAGGGCAGAGATGGCTGCAGAGAGAAGAGCTGCCTTCAAGCCCTGAGGTCTCTGTAGCGGTCAGTTCATCCAGGAAGACGTGGTAGCACAGCGAGGCTCTGAACACACTGATTCTTTTCTTCTTTCTTTCCTCTTAGCAAACTGCCTAGCTGGGCCAGAGCTGTTGTTCCCAAAATATTTTATGTTACGGAGAAAGCTTGGAACTATTATCCCTACACAATTACAGGTAAGTCCTTTGTGCCAGTATGTTACACGTAGCAATAAGACGTAGCAGTAGTCAGATGTCCCTGATTTCGGGTTCGTTATCCCCACGGAGACTTGTGGGAGACCCCAACCTCCTCTCCGGTCAGCATTCTTCTTAGCCAGGAGTAGCAGGGGTTAAGCTAGACCATTTCCTTTCTTTTAAAAGTGACTTTGGAGAAGGAAAGTGAAGCTCTTTTAATGACATTTCTAGAGGTTTTGTTAACCTTATCATTTTCTGATTCCTCAAGTAATTTGGGGGTGTGGTTTTTTTTTATAAACAAGTTTGTATTTTGACTTGTTTGTTTTACAGCGCCCCCCTCACTTACACCCCCAAAAGTACCTTGACTATAATTTATGTAAAAGATTCTGTTGGGGCTCTCTGTCTCAGACTACATGCTTTGTGATTGGATAGTATGGAATCTTTCAAATCACTTTTCCTCTCACTTGTAGTAATGGAATGTTAACCTCTGTACTGATATTGAACTATAAATTGTGGCCAAAAAGTATAGATGGCTTGGTTCTTGCCCTCAAACACATAAAAATTCAAAATCCCATTTGAGTATCTTCATAACAGCCTCTTCTTACTGGTTATGAAAGCTGCTTTTCCACTTAAAAGATTTCCTGTGTGGTTAATGAAATGCTCTGCTGGAATTATTAACCTTTAATTCTGCTTTTACAATGCCAGTGCTTTGGTTTTTAATTAGCCACAAACTCATAGGCTAATTGAATCTTGTCTTAACACTCCTTATCTGACCAACTACCAAAGTATCATGTGAAAGAGTTTCAAGAGCAAACATGGAAACATTCATTATTTATGAAAGTTTAATTTTTAGAAGGCTTCTTACCACATTTGTGATAATTATAATGCACTAGTATATGTTAGCTCTATGGTTTTGTATGTAAGCATGGTCTAAATCTCCATTTTTGTCTCTTTTTCTTTTCCCTCTTGTCCAAATGAACTTCTGGGACCAGAATACACAGTAAGTTTTATTTATTCATTTTTAAATATTCAGCATAAGATCAGTGGAATAATTGAAACTTCTCTTGTACTTCTCATCTTATCAATGTGATAAACATATAGAGGAATAGTTCAGAATAAGAAATATTTAAGTGTTGGCTGTTGCATAGTTATATATGATGCAATAACTTGAAATTTCTCATTTGTTCCAGAATATGAATGTTAATTTAAAATGCCTTGACAGTTGTGTTACATAATTAACTTTGTATTTTCTTAAAATATTTTATTTATTTATTTTTTTAGAGAGAGGGAAAGGGAAGGATAAAGAGTGGGAGAGAAACATCAATGTGTGGTTGCCTCTCCCCTGCCAGGAACTGGCCTGCAACCCACGCATGTGCCCTGACTGGGAATCGAACCGCGATCCTTTGTTTTGCAGGCCTGCGCTCAGCTCAGTCCACTGAGCTACGCTAGCCAGGGCTCACTTGGTTTGTATTTTTAAGTGGCTTGACTGATCTACTTGTGGTAGGTCACTGTCACAGAAGAACTGTTTCTAGAGATGTGGAAGGAAGGAGATGGCGGTAGTTGGCAGCAGAGGATAGGCTGTGGCCTCGTCCCTTCCAGGAGAGCCTTGAAACTGGAAAGACACGCATTCAAGCTGCTGTACTCGGACCTCTAGATTGGACAGTCTCAGTGACTTGATGAAATTACTTAATTTCTGCTTGTCCTAAGAACCTCTAGAGTAATTACTTCTATTTTTAAAAAAAGGAGGACCCTGTTATATCATGTGTTATGGTATTTTCATTGGATCACTTCCCCAGCGGCCAACAGTTCAAACTGTCAGAACAGGAAAAGGGTTAACTGAGCTGTGATAGAATTGCAGTTTCAGTCTCAATCACAGCAGCCAAGGAAGGAGAGATGGTGAGAGAGAATGGAGAGAAGGGATTCACCTTGCCCCTGGCATGAGCAGCATGCCCTGTATGTAGCAAGTGCTCAGTAAGTAGTTATTGAATAAATGAATGAACTCATTCATTCTCAGTGAACTTGTGAATCCATAGCTGAGTGAACAGCTGTGGGATTGAATGAAGGAAGGAATGCATGAACCAAAGACAGACAGTCCAAACAGATGCAGCAGAAGTATCACTAGCTGGAGTCGATGGGCCTGAGTGTCCCCTGGCTCTGCCGCTGGTGGGAATTCTTACATGAGTGACTCCGAACCCCTGGTTCTTCACTTCATACTGGTCCATGACCATGTTCTTGTCTGTCCTTTGCAAAATTAAAAAAGCAGAAATAATATTCAAAGTTTTTCATAAAATAATTCGTTCCATGTAAAGCTTCCTTTACGTGGAATAAATTACACCCCTCATTCTTGGACATTGAAGTATCTTTTTTTATAATGAAATTATAGCAATGCATACAGCATTCCCTCCTGCCCAATGCCCATAACTTCAAAAAAGGGCCATTTTATGGCAAAAATATAAATTTTGGAAGTCAGGGAACTGCTGCTCTGGAACAAGCAGCTAAATTTCTCTGCACCTAAGTGTCTTCCATCTCCAGAACAGGATAACCCCTCTTCCATAGTAGAGAGGATGCAGTGATGTAACACTGGGGTCAGAAGACTTTCTGTAAAGATCATCTGGTAAATATTTTCTGCGTTGTGGCCCAGACAGTCTCTGTCACTGTGAAAGGGACCATAGGCAATATATGAGAACATTGGCATGATCATATTTGCCCAAGCAGCAGACCAGATTTGGCCCCAAGGCTATAGTTTGTCAACCCCTGATACGTATAGAACACTATTAGCACATCTGTACATAACAGGCGATTAAATGCTCCTCACCAATGCCATTCCCAGTGTCATTGCTGCCAGCAATCACAGATCTTCGAGGGGAAGACTCGAGGGTCTTTTGAACCTTGTCCCCTTTAACAGTTGTGCCCATTGCTTCTCGTCACGCCTCCATTTCCCCATCTGTAAGTGCAGAAAATATACTAACTTCTCTCATAAGGGTGCTGTGACGAGCATGTGTTGTCGTTTTATTATTAATTATGCAATGCTAGAAGCTGCCACCATTAGAATGGAACTTCTATGGGTGGGTGTCTTGGAGGCCATCAGCACAGACTGGGCTGTAGTTGTTACACTGGACAGTACTAATTGTCTGGGTTATTATTTGATTTTATTGATATCTTATGTTATTCCACTTTGAGCTTCTCCGAAATCCTGTGTACAGACTTTTCATTTGGAATGTAGGCAGAACACACTCCTCCCTGTAACTACACAAAGCCAGTTATTTGCCTGGTAAGCCTTCGAATTGGGTCACCTTGACTCGACCCAAAAGAATCCAAAGAATCCTTCCTTGTCTCCGTCTCGCTTCTATTGGCCCCAGGCATTCCTTGTCTTGTGGCGGCATAACTCCAAATACTGCTTCTGTCTTCATATGTCTCGTCTCTGCATATCTAAAAAAATATTTTTATTGATTGATTTGGCAGTGGGTGGGGGATGATTTGTCATTCCACTAACTCATGCATTCATTGGTTGCTTCCTGTATGTGTCCTGACCAAGGACCAAACCCTCAACCTTGGCATATAGGGATGCCACTCTAACCAACTGAGCTCCCCGGCCAGGCCTTCCCCTGTATCTGTATTTTCACACAGCACCGTCCTCACTGTGTCTCTCTCCTCGTAAGGGCACCAGTCATATTGGATTAAGGACCCACCCTACTCCAGTATGACCTCATCTTAACTAACTGCATCCATAGTGACCCTAATTCCAAATCAGATCACATTCTGAAGAACTGAGGTGAGAAATTCAACATATAAGAGGGGTGCAATTCAGTGGCTTTCAGGTTTAGGTTAACATTCACTTATTAAGCACAAACAATGTGTAAAACTGTGCTAGAAGGCATCACTGAGCAATAACCCCTGCCTCTGGGGTGAGTTGCAATCTGGGTATAGCAGTCTGGCGACATTCCAGTCAAAGCCCAAGAGTCATCAGCAAGTCATGGAATTTCCTGAAGGCAAGATAGGACAGGTCGTCTCTCAGCTCAGGGGACAGGCTGGCACCAGACCTGCTCACCGAGCTGGATGAACTCGGAGAGGGGCTGACAGCAGAGGCTCCCACCGAAGGGGGGAACGAATGGTCCTGGAGCCTTAGCCAGACAAGCGATTGCAGTGTGAAAGGAAGTGTCCTGGTCTCTAGATTGGGGTCTTCAGCTCCAGGGACAAGACACAGCCATCTTACCTAGGTCAGACAAGGGGACCATGCCATGCTGGGGTGGTAAGTTGTCGGCTTTAGCAAGTAAAAAGGCCTACTGGAAGCAACTAGTTTTTACTATATGTCCCAAATATTACATGGGATATACTTATAATAAAAGATGCTCATCTTGTATTTTATCTGGCAGTCCCATGGGAGCAGCATGGCGGCAGAGCAGAACTGGTCTCAGAGACCAACGTACCAAAATCAGGTTGTAAGAACAGGGCACATTGGTAGGCCAAGGGAACAGGATGCGAGAGAATTGTGTAACTCTGGAAACTGCCGTGCAGTTGACATGCTGCATTAACACTAAGGCCAATCAAATGACCAGTCAGAACCACTTAAGTGCTTCTTGACTCAGTCAGGATTGGCTCAGGAAGTGAAATGGATTGAAGGGGGGCAGAGCTGGAGAAAATAAAATGAGAGCAGGTGACTACATAACTGTCAGTATTTCAGGGAAAGCCTGTACTAAGGGTTGAAATGCAAATAAGAGGGTTGTGAAAAAGAGAGATTCTGCCTCAGAGAAATAATGAGATTTCTTGGAGAAAGTGGGATTTGAGCTGGACTTTTGGGATAGTGGAACTCCTACCCACAGACACCTGCTGTATCTCAGTCTGCATGGGGTGCATAACGAAAAACCGCAAACTGAGTGGCTTAAACGAGAGACCTGTATTTCTCACAGTTCCGGAGGCTGGGGGCTCCAGATCAAGGTATTAGCTGATTTGGCTTTTTGGGAGGGCCCTCTTCCTGGTCTGCCTTCTTGCTTCATCCTCTCGCTCAGAGATGGGCGGGGAAGCAAGTTTTCTGGTCTCTTCTTACAAGGGCACTAATCCCATTATGATGGCCCCACCCTCATGATCTCATCTAAACCTAATTACCTCCCATAGGCCCATCTCCAAATACCATCCCATTGGGGGTTGGGGCCTCAACATGAACTTGGGAGCGGGCACACAGTTCTCACTTAGCATGCTCATTCCATTCCCAATGGCTGATATCACCTGGATCCTGGCTGCCTAGATACATGGAGGCCAGGTCAGTGCAGCTTTGAATGTCAGGTCAAGGTTGCATTTCATTCTCCATAGGGAAGCAACATTGTTCCTGTCTAATCCACTTTTATTTTCCATCCCAAATATGGACAGCTTTTCTTTCTGTCTCCCAGTGAGTGGGGGAATCTGGGCTTTTCTCTCTCTGGATGCAGGTGCACTCCTCCCCATCCCCTCGGCTGTGTTCTCACGCCCTCTGCCCACCACACAGACCAGATGGAAGAGCCCACTCTTCTGTCTGACCACAGGCCTGCTCCTGGGATTTGTGACACATGCTTTCAATTGTCTTCATCTTTTTTCCTATTTTAAGTGCTTTTTCACTGGGCTGTTTATCCCCCGATTCTTTAATCCTGAATGTCTCTGCTTGATGTCATTCCAAGCTTCATGTTTCCTGACTCTGCCCCAGAGCAAAACTTCCCCGATGCCAAACTCCCAATTTGGGCCCCCAAGCTCACCCCTCCCTCCTGGAAGCCAGATAATTGTCTGTTTTCATAGGATTAGTCCAGAGCAATGTTTGTTTCTAGGGTCCCCTAGGTCTTGTATCTGACTGTCCAGCCTATTACTAAGACCTCATGCTGCCCTCATCTGTGACAAAGTCCAGCCAAGGGACCTTTTTGATTAGGATCATTTAGGGCTTTAACGTTATCACAGTTATAAAGACGTAAAAGCTTTTTCAACACCGTTGAGTAACTGCGTGTGTTGAGGATTATGTGGAAATTCTGCTTGACCAGG